CAGCTGCATCAGGGCCTTGTCTCCATGGCCCTCAGCTCCGGGAGGTGTGCACGGGGGCCCAGACATCCTGCAAATGTCATAGGGAGAAGGGTATGGGCGGGTGAAGAGGACACAGGGCACTTGCAGGTTCTTTGGAGACCAGTGACTTCACAATGCTGGATTTGGTGGCTTTGCAGCAGGGTTTGCAGATGGGGGCATCTGTCACCAACCAAGATCGATTTTTCTTGTTGGTGTTTTGTTTTGTTTTTTGAGACAGAGTCTCATTAATAGTTCAGGCTGGCCTTGAAATCACCGATCCTCCTGCCTCATCCTCCCGACTGCTGGGATTACAGGCTTGCACCACCATGCCCAGCTGTTTCTTACGTTAGATAAATGTTACATGAGGCCACTGTTTGGGACTAAGCTCCTGTAGGAACCAGGTTAAAAATGAAGATGGGGTTACTCACCCTAACACGTGCGTGCTGCTGAGCTGAAGCAGGGCTGCTCATTTGACCTTCAGAGACCTCAGGGTCAGAGGGAGCGCAGTCCACTTCCAGCAGGCCAGCGCCAGTCGCAGGTTGCTGGCTGAAAGGAATGGCAGGCACTGACGGGAGCCACCAGCTGTCTCTCCGCTGTCCTGCCCTGGCCCCACTTCCAAGGACAGCAACTCTGCAGTGACCGGTCTGCTTCGTGCCGGGCCCCTGCTCTCCAGGGCCCTTCCTTCCTGCCCCCACCCGCTCCACTCCACCCACTGGGACACTGCTGCCCCATGCTGGAGTCGGAACAGATCCCAGGAAGGTCCTTCGACCCTTGGGAGCAGCTGGGTGCCCGTCTCTCAGAGTCATGAGGGGCAGGAGTGATGAAGGTGATGCGAAGGGGAGTCTGCGGACTGTACCCTGAAGCTGTCCCCCAACAGGCAGTGGCCCCTCTACTCGCTCACTGCTTGGCCTGGGGGCCCCGAGCTTGTTTGCCAAGCCAAGTGGGGCCGGTAGCCTCTATCTCAGCTCAGGGGTAGGAACTGTCTCTCACAGGAGTGCCAGTCCTGAGATGGATGAGCAGCCTGGGTCCCCTCGGGATCCTCCCCATGCTGCTGGGTGGGGATCCCAGGGACCAAGCCACGGGGCACCCATCTTCCAGTGCTGGGAGACTGTGGTCTCGCTGGGGACAGTCACGCTTCCTGTGAGGGCTCTAGCATGTGTGGGGCAGCAGAAAGCGAAACTCCACGCCCCTTGGTTGGCTCTGAAGTGTTCTCTGTGCACACAGCTGCCTCTCTTTACCCATCCCGAGAGGTCTCGTTTCCAGATGTTAGAGGAGGCTGAGGGCTGGGGGTGAGGTTCAGTGGTGGAGCATGTGCTTGACATGCTCATGGCCCTGGATTCCAGCCCCAGCACCACAAAGATGAAAAAGAAGTCATCGGTGCACTTTGTGACTGAGTACTGAGACTTAGAGAACAAAGGTGGTGGAACGGCACAGCGTCAGCTGTGCACCTAGGCTACCTCCTGTTCCTGCCTGTCTTGTTAATCCAGGGAGCTTCTGTGGGGTGCTCACTACTCGCTGGATGCTCCCATCCGCCGCGGACACACTCATGCCGCGGCCAGTGCCGCAGCTTCTCTCAAAGAGCTCTTCCTGCTAAGAGGGGCAGGAAAACAAAGAGTGAATACCTGCATGGAAAAAAATAAAGTAAGGGCTAGCACTAGGGCTGAGAGCTGAGGCCTGGCTTCAGGGAGGTATCAGAGAGCACCTTGTGGGTTAAGGGATGTTTGGAGATACCTGAAAGAGGTTAGGGGGTTGTGAAGCTCTGGGGCAGAGACTCTGGGCAGGAAGATAGCATGTGCTAAGGTCCTGGGGCTGGGTCCTGGTGTTGGAGTGGCAGGATGAGGCCTGAGTGTCTGGACCCTCAGCTGGGCTGGGGGAGGTGATGGGAGATGGGATTCTGGAGGGGGAGGCTGCAGAAGGGAGGTCATACTGCTGCTTCTGTTTTTGTTTCGAGATGGAGTCTTGCTATGCTGCTCAGGTTGGCCTGGAACTCCTGGGCTGAAGTGATTCTCCAGCCTCAGCCTCCCCAGTAATTGGGATGACAAGTGATTGAGTGCCTAGGTCTGGTCAGGGGCACTTTTCAAATGCAAATGTGTGCACAGGTCTCCCGGGGATGGGTTAACTGCAGGCTCTGCTGCAATGGGCTGGAGATGGGCCGTTGTTCTGCCACTCTGCAAGGTGCCAGGTGGGCCTGAGGCTGCGGGACCTTGAAGCCCAAGGTCCCTGGTATGCTTCCTTGTGCCAGGGTCAGGGCGAGGCCTGTCCTCTCAGGGAAATCAGGAGCCTTTGGATTGCTCTGAGCTGCAGGACGCCTTCATCTGACCTTTGTTGTTTTGTGGTACTGAGGCTGGCACTCAAGGCCTGGCACACACTAGGCAGGTGCTCGTCACGGAGCTGCACCCCATCCCCGACCTTTGTGTTGAAGGAACCGTGGTGGGTGCTGGTAAGGCTGCAGAGTAGGGTGGGAGCCTTTGGGAGCCTAATGAATACTCAGAAAGGAGACAGTGTGATTGGGAGAGGAAGGGGTAGGATGGGAGGTCAGTGCTTTTGCTGCTTTGAAGCCAGGCTGCTAGGTGACAGACCGTATGCATACTCAAGGGAGGGCCCTTGGGGGACTAGTGTGCATGGCCAACCCCAGGAAGTGTATCTTCAGTCCCCTGACCTGAGGGACTTGACACGGATATGCTCAGATGGTGACTGCACGTTGAAGAGAGGCTGTGATTGGCAGGAAAGTTTCCAGCTACAGATACTGACCGGAGAGTTGGAGCCGAGAGAGCTGGCTGCTGTCTCCTAGGGGTAGGGAAGAGAGGGGACTGGGGATGGAGCCTCAAGGTCCCCGACACTCTGAAGGCAAAGAGATGAAAAGCAACCAGTAGTTCTCGCTTCGGCAGCACATATACGAAAAGCAACCAGTAAAGGAGGCTGAGTGCAGAGGGTGGTGAGTAAGAGAAAATCGTGTATTTGTGGTTGAAGTTGTATCAGCTACCAACAGCTAAGTAACAAGCACACCGGCATTTAGTGGCTTTTGATGACATTTGATGATTTTTTAGTTCTGTGAGCAGACTGGGGAGCTCTTTTGTGTCATGGATGAGCCAGAAGGCCCTGGGGGTCTCATCTGAGTCTAGGAGCTGTTCTTCTCCCTGAGGTCTCTGCCTCACAAGTCCTGGAGCTGTGAGGCACCACAGGTGCCAGGTCCTGCTGGCCAAACAAGGAGGCTGACCCAGACGGAGAGAGAGCTGGGCTCCTGGTGCATGCATGTGCATGCGTATGTGTGGTGCTGGGCACGGACGCCAGGCCCTCCGGTGGGCTAAGCATGCACGGTAACACGGTGCTGCTCCCAGACTGGGCTCCCGGAAAGAACAGCCAGCTGTCACGTACACGGCGGGAGGCAGTGTCAGTGCCATCTCTGGGATCAGCTGCCACATCACAATCTCTCTCTGTTCACATTTTTATATTGATTTAAAATGGGCGTTTGGGCCAAGTGCTGGTGCCAGCCTTCCTCTCCTGCCTGCCAACCATGTGCTCTTTACAAGTCTTTATCTGGGCTCAGCTTCCTTATTTGGTCCACTGGGAGGCTGACAATCAGAGGGGGGTTGATAGTACCAGGTAACTTTTTCTTTTTGCTTGTTTTGTATATGTGTGTGTGTGTGTGTGTGTGTGTGTGTGTGTGTATTTTGGCCCTAGCCAAGGCCTGACTTGGTCTGGTCTGGTCTGGTTTTGTTTTGTTACAAGACCTTGCTATGTTGTCCAAACTTATTTTGGCTTTAGGCAATCCTCCTGCCTCAGTTTCCTGAGTAGTTGGTCTGCAGATATACTGGGATACCTGCCTGACTGGGATAACAGCCCCTGCCCCCCAGTTGAACCCAGGGTCTTCAAACTGAACTACATCCACAGCTCTTTTGATAAATTTTAATTTTGACGCAGGGTCTCTTCTAAGTCACTAAACTGGCCAGGCTGGGCTTGAACTTGCAATCCTCCTGCCACAGCCTGCTGGAATGCTGGAATTGCACGTGTGCACCACCATACCGGGCTTGGGATAACTTTTAATCTACGTGGACATGCAGGTTGAGTCCTGGCACAGTGTGGAGCACGTGCTGCTGTCCCTGCCCAGCTGTCCCTGGCAGGTGGCAGGCTCCCACACACCTGGAGCTCCTCTGAGGCCAGGCTCTGTCCTGGGCAGTGTCATGGTCACAGCCAACAGGAAGGGATCTTTCAGAGCCCAAAGAACTCAACAAACCAGTTTTCCAAAATTCCCCTTCCCGTGTGTATCTTGTGCATTGTGTGTTTACTTCTCGGGTGTTGAAATATTTCAGAACTGGCAGAGACAAGTCTCCTTCTGGCCCCTCCACAACACCTCTTCCACCTCCCGCAGAGCTCTGTACCCGTATCACCTCGGGCAGGATCTGAGCCTGAGTCCACCCCGCTCCTCCTGGGAGGGCTGCTCCAGCCCTGCAAAGAAGAAAAATGAGTCCTGAGAAGTCAAAGCACCAAGCACCGGGCCAAGCAAGGTCCCAGGGCTAGAAATGTCAGGGTTTGAATCCCGGCCACACACAGCCACATAGGAGAAAACCTCACCGCCATAAACTCAGCAAGTTAGCGAGCGCATTCTGGCTGTTGTTTTCTTTTACTTTTTACCAGGCAGGAAGTGACGGACATGGGGCCCAGGCCAGCGGGTGGGGGACAGGACGTGGGGTGATGGCTGGGGTCCGAGTCGGGCTGTGCAGCCCCTGGGCCCGCTGGACTCAGAACCACCCCGCGAGAGGAGCCGGGCCCCAGATGCTGGCGACGCCCTTGGCCCCCTGCCCGCAGCCCGCGCCCCCGTCTTGCCTCCGGGCTTAGGACAGAGAAACTCGGGGCTTGGGAGGCGCGAAACCAGAAACCGCCCCGCGGGGGCGGGGGCGGGCGGGCGCGGGACCACCGCCTCCTCCCCTCCCCTCGCCTGCTCCTCCCATGGCCGCTCCTCCTTCTCCCGGCCGGGTGGAGGTGGTGCGTGGGGACCCAGGAGGGGCGGGGCCGGGAGGGCCCAGGCTGGGGCGCGAGGCTCAGGCACCGGCACCGGCACCGGCGTGAGCGATGGCGGCGCGCAGCCTGGGCCGCGGCGTGGGGCGGCTGCGGGGCGTCCTGGCGCGCGCGGGTATCGGGGCGCACACGGCGCCTCCCCAGGCCAGGGCAGCCTCGTACCCCGCGCGCCGTGCGCAGGCCGCCCGCGAGCCCGCAGCCTTCTGGGGGCCCCTGGCTCGCGACACTCTGGTGTGGGACGCCCCCTACCACACCGTCTGCGACTGCGACTTCGGCAGCGGCAGGATCGGTTGGTTCCTGGGGGGCCAGCTCAACGTGTCCGGTGAGTGGGCGCGGAGTCCCGGGGCCCCGGTCCTGCACTCCGTCCCGCCGTCCCGCCGGTCCCAGCTGTGTGCCCCGAATCCTCTTTCGTGCCTCGGTCCGTGCCAGCCTTGCGGAGAGTGTCTCCAAGTGGGACCTGGGCACTGTCCCCGAGTCGGAAGCGGGGCGCTAGCTGCGGGAGCGTGGGCAACACCTGATAGGCGGGTGTGGAGCGGCGCTTGGTAGCGGCTGCAGGACAAACCGAAAGAGCCTGGCGGTTGTCACCACCCGCGGCTCGACTCGCCTGGGGACCAGCAGCAGCGTAAACAAACAGCTGCTGCGGGGCAGCGGAGAATCACGCAGGGGTCCCCAGGGAGAATAGCGCGCGGTGGGGGGGTGGAGGTCCCTGGGGAAGGGGGGCCTGGGAGGAGAGCCCCCTTGGGGCTCCGCTGAGACTGAAGCCTGTTGGTTGGCTGAGATCTGGGCTGGGGGCACACTGGGCCTCTCCCCAATCTGAAGAGGCAGCCCAGGCTGTACAGGCAGAGTGGAGTGGGAGGCCTGCAGCCCTGGGGTGTGCAGAAGGGGTCCCAGGCAGGGTGGGGGGGTTCCTTCTGTTGAGGGCCTGTTCTGTCAAGGCAACACTGCCGTGGGATGTGGAGTCCCTTTACTCTGCTCCCAGTCTCAGTCCGGCTCTAGTGAAATCACCCACGTGCTCTTCTCTTAGGCAGGCAGGACAGCGTGGGAGATGTGGATCTGGCCCAGGGCTCACTGGGAATCAGCAGCTGTAGAAATGTTAGTTATATTCAGAAATTGACTTGGAGCCATAGGCAGGGTCTGTTTTTCAAAGGATCTCTGGACCAGTTTTTTTCATGTTTCATCCTATGCTGTAGGTCTAATCAAAATGAGTCACTCACTTGATAGTGTTTTCTTTACAGTTGGGTTGGAAGCCAGTGTCCTTGAACCATCTGGGAAGGAGAAAGCTTTGGGTGTGCAGAGGGGGTGGAATGTGCCCTTGAGGGGAGGTGCAGTGGGCCGGCCAGGGCACAGCTAGGGTACGGCCAGGGCATGGAGCAGGTCCTGTGGGAGCTGCCTCTGGACTCCCTGGTGGGTGGAGGCCATGGGTGGCTCCTTCAGGGTTGAACTGATAAGATGAGGTGCTGGCAAGGATCATTTTGTGGAGCAGGGAATTCTGACTCCTTCCCTTGATAGAGCAGAGCCAGGGCACAGCTTTGGAAAACGGACTTGCAGCAGAGCAGCTTTTGGTAGCTGTCCTGCCTCAGCTGGGGTATCTGTCCCTCCATCTGTCACAGGCCGGGCCACAGGAGCAGGCAGCTGCCTAGAAAGCTGTGGAGGGTGGGGAGGCTTTGTACTGTCTGTGGAGCATGATGAAGCCAGCAGGACCTCGGTCTCTTGCATCTTGTATTCCCACCTCTCTAGACGTGCTTCTCAAAGTGTAGTCTGAGGCCACAGGATAACTTGGGTGCAGACCTGCTGCCTGTGAGTAACAAGTGGTTGTCAGCCCTCTGTGCTTTGGTGCCAACCCTCAGGTTTGTGAACACCAGCCTGTGTCCCAAACCAGGGCAGGTGAAGCCTTTCTCAGCCCAGCAGCACTGGGAATTGTGTGCTGGAGATGGCACAGACCAAGCAAGCATGGCACAGTGCTGTTCAGAGGTCTGGGCTGTGACTTGTCTTTCGGTTTGCTGGGCTTGCAAGTTTCATGTCTGTAAACTAAGGATCATGCGAACTGAGTTCTGGTCTGGTCACTGTTGTTGCATATGGAACCAGCCGAAGCCCACCGCTCACCAGGTCCTGTGGGTCAGGACTCTGGACAGTGCCGAGGTGACCCTGGCTTTCGCCCCAGTTTGGGCCTGGGTTGGCACTAGGGTTGGAATGTGGCTCGTCTCCTGGAGGCCCACGTTGGAGTTTAATCTCCACGGTGAGGTATTAAGAGGGTGGTAATTTAACCCCATTGTGGTATTCAGAGGTGATTGGGGCTTGGTAAGGCCATGGGGTGCTACCCTCATGGTGAGACCCTGTGACCTTGTAAAAAGATGGAGGAGAGAGCAGCAGACACACACGTGTACACACACACACACAAGCACGAGTGCTCTGCCTCCTGCCATGTGATGTCTTGTGCCACCTGAGACTGTCAGTGGGACCATCTCCCGATGTGGGCCCTCGGGCCTCCAGAACCGAGCTACCTCAGTATTTCCTTATAGTAACAGAAAATGGACCAATACAGCCTGGATGACTGAGCCACAGGACTTGGCCCCAAAACTATGCAGGGCTTTTCACAGCAAGTCAGCGAGGCCCAGGCACTGTCCGGGCAGGAGGTCCAAGAGGTCAGGGCAGGCCTTGTTAGACCCTCTGGCTGGGGAGGGAGGGCCATCTGCTTGCAGTTTCCTTATCTTATCGGTGGGGTGGGGTTATCAGCACCCCCAGCATGGAGCTCTTCTTGGGATTAGATAAAGCCTATAGAGCCCTGGGCACACTGCAGCCCAATCAGCAGCCAGTGTTAATTATTAATGAAGCACTTGAGGAGGCCTTGACCTGCCCAGTGCTGGGCTGTATAGGAACCGATTGGCCTAAGGTGGGTGGGAGGCAGGCTTTGGAAGATGCACACACCCCTTGAAGCTGAGCTCTGATGACCGGGGCTGGGTGATGGCATCCTAGGCTCCAGGGCCAGGGCCTCCGCCAAGTCCTCCTCTGCTGTTTCGCAGAAGCTGCTCTGGAAAGTCAAGTTCTGAAGGAATCTTTCCCGCCCTTGAAACTTGGCTCTGTTCTTTGTAACACTTGACAGATGCTAAAAATTCCAGAGGTCAGGAAGTTGTAAATGCAGAACCCGAGGAAAACTGAGTGTTGCTTTCAAAGCACAGCAAAACTCTTTTCTAAACTCCGATTTTGAGTCTGACTTATTTTAAAAGTATGTATTCTTTCTCAAGCAAGAGTGTTAACAAACTATTTAATTAAGCATTGAGCTCTCGCTGTCTCTGTCTCTGTCTGCCTCTGTCTGTGTCTGTCTGTCTGTCTCTCTCTCTCTGCTGGAGAACCCAGGGTCTCTCACAGGCTAGGCAAGGGCTCTACCACTTGACTGCATCCCCAGCCCTTTGTTATGCTTTTGAGGCATTTCAGCTGGAGTGGCTCCTCTGTGACGTGCCTCCAGTCATTCAGAAAGCAGGTCCATGACCTCAAGATGCCACAGGCCGGTTCTTAGCCTTCCTCTCGGTGATGGCAGTGGCTCTTCTAAGGTTTCTCAGGAACTCTAAATGGAAATTGACCCCAATCTTGGGGGGTAGGTCCTCTGGAAGGGTCTCTGGAATCTTCTCCTTCGTCAGAAGCCTGACTTACTTTAAATAGCATTTGCTTCTGGAAAGTTGGCAAATATGATATTTTGTAACTGATGTCATATCTTAAAATGTGCAGCGAGGTTTGCTATTTAAAGAAAACCATTGTGAATCCTTTTGTGAACACTGACTCCTTGTTTTCTTTTGATTGAGGTTGTATTTTTGTGCGCTGGGTTCACTTACAGTGGGCTGTATGTGAGGGATATATTTAAACAACCAACCAGCGAGCTAGGGCTGGAGGTGTGGCCTGGTGGCAGAGCTCTTGCCTACCGGGCAGGAGGCCCTGATTTCCATCAGCACTGCCAAAAAAAAAAGGAGTTCTTGAAAATTCCTGTGTTAGCACGTGCCATCTTGATGATGGAAATAATAACTCTGGTAATTCTTTTCTTGTCAATGAAATTAAAAACCCATGGCCCACCAAAGGCATTAGCCCAAGGCAGGACCTATGCTCCAGTGACTCAACCAAGCACGGGGCAGCTGCTCCCAGGGGCATCAGCTGTCCCTCAAGATGCCAAAAGGGAGGAGTTGGTGGCCCCATTGTGCAGATGTGGAAATAAAGCCTGCAACTCAAGGATGGTAGTGAATAACCCAGAAAGCGCCAAGGCCATGGAGCTTCATTCTAACAAGGAATGGCTCCTAAGTCATTATCAAAGGACAGAATTATAACCATGAAGTATAAGGATCTCGACTGCCTTCTCTTCTTCGTTCTAGAATTAGGCAATGCTTCCTCCTGTACAGTAGCTAAGTGTTCCAGGACACAGAGCGGAGTGGATGGGGCAGAGAGGGCCTGGCAAGAGCTTGCTCTCAGAGTGGCCTCCTGTGATGTTTATTAGCAGTAAAGAACAGATCGAGCTGGGGCATCTTGCTCGAGGTGGTTAAGCTGCACTGGAGGGCACTGGAATGCAAGCCCACTCCTGTCCCTGCCGGGTCCCCAGAGCCTTGTGACCCAGAAGGGGTGGGCGCCAGAACGGGAACCACAGGCAAAAGAAGGAAGTAAGTGTTTGCAGTGCAGTGTGGGCCCGGGGGTGGGCAGGGAGGCTTGGAAGGCCTTCAGCAGGAGGTGGGGCTGGGCTTCGCCTCCAGTCACAGTGGGCTTAGCTCAGCCCTTCTTGGAAACGTGTGCACACAAAACTTTCTTGTCCTGCTTCCCATCTCTTTGACCGAAGCTTTTATTTTTCTAATGTAGAGATGTAAGAATTTCCTTCCTTCCTCCTCTCTCCATCCCTCTGTCTTCCCTTCCTTTTTTTCCTTCCCTCCCTCCCTCCTCTCGTCCTTTCTTCCATCCTGGATTCAGACAGCAGCAGGCGCCCTAAGCAGGTGCTGAGAGCCAGTGTGTGCTTCTGGCCGCTGTCCCCTCACCCCCCACATTGTGGTGGCTGTGAGCAGAAACTGGTTGTTCTGTTTGTGTTTCCCTTGTGAGGCACCCTTTGCACCTGCGAGGGGAAACACCTAGTTCTTGCAGGCATGCCCAGAGTCAGGGATGGTTCTCCTTGGACGGACAGAAGCCGAAGGTTGGACTAATCAGGAGGGTTTTGTCTGCACCTGTGAGCACTCGGCTTGGGGCGGGGCTGGAGACCCCATTTTTAGCTACGGTTGCAGGCCATTGACCAGCAAGCGGAGCCCTGATGTCACAAAGCATTTGCAAGTGTGTTTAGTTGCTTTGTTCCCCAAAGGAAAAGAAAGCCCTGGAGCCTACACACAAAGCAGAATGCACAGGTGTAGACCCAAGAGCTGAGTCCCTGTGGGCCCTGAAACCACAGCCACCTCTCGAGGCTGAGACAAGGCCCACAGCCCTCCCGGAGGTTCTGAGGTTCTGACACCTGCAAGGCTGAAAAGTGCCAATTTTGGCCAAAAATGTGACTTACCATTTGGGGGCCAAAGACAGAAAAAGTATGCTCCTTCCCTGAGTGCAGGGGGGCCACTGGGGCTGGTTAGACTCGCATGTCACCCTGCAGCTGGAGGACACGGTACAGACATCCCCATCTCTGTGACCCTCAGCTCTGAGCTCTGGACAGCTGCACCGACATGACCTGGATGGGTGACCTGGGGCCATACGGTCAGCAACAGACATCTCAGGCCCTTAGAGGGAGACACAGGGCCCAGGGGACAGGAAGTGTGGGCTCCGACTGTAGGCTGGAAGGGGCCTATGCAGAGGTCCTGGGGTGGGGGCTCCCCAGATTCCACAGGGTCTCTGGCAGAGCCCCTTAGTGGGATGACCTGCCTGGATGCTGGACATGGAGACAGCCTGCTCCCCACATGCCTGGTGCTGTCCACCTGTGACAGGGCCCTGCCTCACTCTGCTCTGCTCCCCCACCCGTCACATGACCTTCAGGCTCCAAGGGGGGCTCACCTGACCTCCGGCTGTCACGCTCCAGTGAGAAGAATGTCCTGGCACCCAATGTCCTTCATCCAGCCCTGAGAGAAATGTTGGGTGTGTGTCAGCCCTTCCTGGCCCGGCAAGTGTTACACACAGCTATATATACACCTGCAGCACATACACATGTACATATGTGCAACATGCACACCTACACTACCAGGCATACACACACTTGCATACACTCAGACCCCCACGCCTGTGCATGCACACACCCTGTGCACATCACATAGCTACATACACACACACACCTTTACACACATGGGTGTGCACTGATTCCAACTGATGGTGCACCTCCAGCCCTGCCTCTGAACCCTTTGTCAGTTTGTCTCCTTTGCACTCCGTCTCTCTCTCTGTCATTTCTCCTCTGTTTAGAGGAATTCCCCATGTCAGTTAGCAGCATTAGTCTATTCCCCTGCGTCTACCTTTGTTCCCCCGTATCTAGCAGATTCGGAAGTGTACAGTGCAGTGTGTGCAGGGAGGTGGAAGCTGTACACTTCTCCACCCTCGCTCCTCTTGCGAACCTGCAAACCTGCGATTTCATACCCATTTATTAGTGGCTCCCCCTTTCCTTCTTCATTTAACCTTTGGTGTCACAGTTCCATGGATATTGTTTGCTTTAGGTATAATTTACACACAGGACCCTGAGGATGGGGTGGTGGCTGCCCCCAGCTCCCCACAGTGCTTATTTCCTCAGAGTTCCTGGCCCAGCGGTGGGAAGTGTGTAGGAGCTAGATTCCAGGGCTGGAGGGGCTCACATGTGAAACCTCATGATCGGGTCAGGGTGTCGGGTCAGTGAGGATTAGGGCAGCCGGCAGCACGGACCGGTTTCTGCAGAAGCCGTGTGATCTGAGCTTGGGTTCAGGAGGGGATGGGAGAGCATTCCGGGAAACCAGGGTGGTGTTTTCCCACGGTGGAGCAGAGGCTGCTCCAGGGCGCCACCTGGGAGAGGGCTGGGCTCCTAGCCTTGGTGGGCACCCCCACCTGTGGGCCCATGGGCATGTCCCAGGCATCTGCCCCGCGCTGGCTGCACGCAGATCCCAGGACCCCAGGAAGCAGGAAGCCGGGGGGCCCAAGGAAGGAGAAGGGCGGGAAGGGGCCGAATGCAGCCAGGGCGAGACCGTGGCTGCCTCAGGTACTTGGGGGTCGTGTGGCTTCTCCTGCAGCACAGACACCTCCGTCTCCCTCTGGGAGGATGGGTCCTCCTAACTGTGGGCAAGGGCAGGGTTCCCTGGGGGCGTGGACTCCCCATCCTTGCTCTAAAGCCTGGCAATTAATGTCTGTACTCCTGTTTCTGTGCAGTCAACTGCTTGGATCAGCACGTCCGAAAGGCACCCGAGAGCGTCGCTTTGATCTGGGAGCGAGACGAGCCTGGCACGGAAGTGAGGATCACCTACAGGTACGGCGTCTCCTGACCACACCGGGCCCCTGGGACCTTCCGTGGTCATTAGCAGAAGAGGTGTCCTGCCTAGAAGCAGCCCTGACTCCTTTTGCTCTGGGTCCTGAGCCTCTTCAGAGTCCTGTACGGAGAGGGGTTCCTCCTGGGCCAACCTGGTGAGGGTTCCTGGTGCGGGGAGCATGTGGCCCAGATGCCCTGCGGATGGCTTGTTCCAGTGTCAGGGGGCGTGTTCAGCCTTCAGAGGCGCCTGATCCCTGAATAGGAGGTGTGGAGGCAGCTGATAAAGCACTTGCAACGTCACAGGCTCCAGGCCAACCACTTGTTGCTCTGCACCCTTAGGGAAGAGCAACGGTGAAGAACACTTTTTTTTTTTGGTGCCAGGAATAGAACTCAGGACCTTGTGCTTGCCAGGCAGGCACTTGTGCCACTGAGCTATATCCCTGACTCTAAGAACACTTGGAAAGAGCTTTGCAAAAACTTAGTGTTTTTGTGCTTTGATTTTTAAATAATTCTGTACACATCATACGTGCCAGGCATGTGTGCCCTGGGTTGGCTCCTGGTCCCCACACTGCTTCCTGCTGGCACTGCCTTCTTCAGAGCTAGTGGGCAGTGGGCTCAGGACTTGGGTTCTCCACAGAGGCCCCTTTGCTTGGGGCTGAGATGGCACAGTGGTGAGTGCTGGCCTAGCATGTGAGGCCCTGGGCTCCAGCCCCAGGACCACAAGTATAAAAAAGGTGCCCTCCACTCACGTCACAGTTCACAGCAGTGCTGTGGCTTCCATGTGCCCGAGCCATAGGTTGTCTGTCCCCACCAGGTCTCCTGTGTGGTGGCTGCTGGTTGTCCTTGTCCAGCAAGTCTCGGATGAACCTGTGTCCCCATCGGGGTGTGCTGTAGTAACAGATAGCCCATGTGTGGCAGTCGGGGCCTCTCTGAGGACATGTAAGCTGTGATTCTGGTGACGAGGGAACGAGGTGTCTGGGAGCAGAGCAGGTGCATGTGTCTGGATGTGGGGTGAGGGGAGGGAGAAGAGAGGTAGGAGAAAAGTCCTCCCGGGTGGCCCAGCGAGGTGGTCAGTTCCTGACCCTCAGTGGCTTGGGGGGCCATGGGACAAGGTGCTTACCCTTGGCAACAGGAACTCCTGACCGAACTCGCCAGCCTGGCTGGGCTGTGCTCGTGTCCACGCTGCAGGTGGCAGAGGGCATGCGGGCATCTGTGCAGCTCTGGCCCCTGGCCTGTATGCCCCCATCCAGCGCAGCCCTCATGGCTGGGACACTCCCTTGCCAATGTGTCCCCTACTGGGAGGAGCTCCTGGGACCCACTGAGCGGCCCAGGCAGAGGTGTGGCCTCATTCGTCCCTGGGGCTGTGTGCTGTGGCCCCTGTGTCCTTGAGCCCAGCTCAGCTGGCTGCTATGATGCGGGTTAAATGTAAACCACTCAGGAATGCACAGGACGGACGCCAGCACACTAACGCTGCGGCGACGTCAGTTCCACGGCAACAAAGTGGCCTGAGGTAGAGATGGGCAAGGTGTTTATTATTCCGTCTGTCTCAAAATAAACAGAGTTAGTTCAAGACGGCCTGCAGACCTTGCTGGGCTTGGTATCCACAACTGTTTGTGTTGCTTTTCAAAGGAAAAGTGTAAGTACAGATTATCTGTAATTGCTGCAGCGCTTGAAGGGCGCCAGTTAATCATTTTCCTGGTCATTTGAGGTGTTGGAGATGAGATTTTCTTCCTGCCCGCTCCCAGAAAACCTCTTGTCCTTGCTGCTGGCTGCTGGTTGTCCTGCCAGCACAGACCCCGCCCCCCAAAAGGCCTTGCCTGCCCAGAAACCGGGTGCAGTGTCTCGCAAGGTTCTTCTGGGTGGCCACAGGTCTTGTGGGTCCAGACTCTTAAACTGTCCCCCCACTTCAGTGCTGGGGCTCAAACCCTGGCCCTGCACATGCCAGCCCAGTGCTTGACTTCCAGGCTATACCCTGGCTCCTGGTCCTTTAGAAGAACCTCAGGGCTGAGGTCCTGTGGGCTGGGATGTTGGTGCCCTGTGGTCTCCTGGCACCAGGAAGTTTTCATGGCCCCACAGTCACTTCCAGAAATCTCAGGGCACCTGCGGAAAGGTCTTCCCTGTCACCCCAGCCCATCTTGTAGGGCACAGAACAGCCCTTGCTGCAGAAACCTGCGCCCCCTTCTCAGTTGCTGCCCCTCCCCTTCAAGTGACCGCTTTGACTTTTCTCTGAATAGGAATTATTTTTAACCCAACCTACAGGGAGGGAGGCAGACTCAGAGGTGGAGTGGCTTGTCCAGGGCAGGTGCTTCAGGGGCTTCTGGGGCTCAAGCCCAGGTCAGTGAGTTTAGAAGGAGGAGCCCATGTCTGCTGTGCCCTGAAGCACAGACTTGCTGGGCCGATGGAGCATGGTTGGAGCCTGCACGCCTCTCGTTACCCTGCTGGTTTCCGCTCGCTGGCGGCTGCTCCACATGTGTCCATCCTCGGGTCCCAAATCTCTCAGTCCCAGCTCTGCTACCTCTGACTGCCTTTCTGGAGAGTCTCTGTGACCTACACCTCTTCCCTGGAAACTGTGGACCCAGCCCTTGGTCAGGGGACCCAGGAAATGCTGCCATGAGCCGTGTGCATGGGTGATGTGCACACGTGCAGACACACCGTTCATACCTGCTCCATGGTACTGCACAGTGCTGCCTTCTGCTCTCAGGGCTGTTGGTCTGGATCTGGTTCCCAGCCACGGCCTGCGGTGGTCCTGCCTGTGGCCTTTTGGCGTGCTGTTCTGCATGCTGGCATCTGAATCCTGCTGCACGTGGCCCCAAGCCAAGGAGGCTGAATGGATGCACTTAGGGACTTTGGGAGGCCAGGTGTCCTCACCTTTTGCGCACTTGTCCACATCACCCACTCCTTCCCTCTGTGGCCACAACCCCCGAGCCGTGAGCAGTGGCAGCGGGAGCCAGGTCTCAGTATTCGCCTGAGGGCACCTTGAGGGGCTCAGCCTGGGTGGGTACGGTGACTGAAGCTGCCCCTCCAGCCCTCTGACTGTGAGGTTGGGGCCTGAGAGGCCACCAGGCTGGGTTCAGGTTGAGGTGGCAGCCTGGGCAGCTGCTCTGCTCTGCCTTCCAGTGGGCATCCTTTAGAAGATGGTCCTTTATGTTAGGCAGGTGGGCAGGCTGTAGAGCTCAGTGGGAACTGGGGAGTCCGGATGGTCTGGGTGGATGGGAGTGTGTTCGAGCCTGCTGCCTGCCTGGCTGATGTGCGAGCTCCTTGCCCAGCTGGGGTGCACGTGGGGGAATGACACATAGGCGAGGGGGCCTGCAGCTTGCTTCACGCCCTCTCAGCCCATGGTGGGTCCTGACACAAGTGAGGCGGAGAGTGGGTACCCAACTGACATGTGCCAAGCCTCTGAGCCAGTGCATTCCTCCCGGAGGCCTCTGTGGAAGGTCTGGACCTGAACCTGAGCGCAAGGGAGTGAGTTGTAATTAAGCAATAAGACTGTTTCGACCTCTGGCCGGCTCTGTGGCTTTGGGGCCTATTTCTCCACATCTGTAGAATCAGGGTTTGGATGATACTAGGGCTGAGGGACAGGGTAGGGACAGCATCCCAGCAGCATCGTGGACACAGGCACAGAAGCCAGAGTGGACAGCTGTACCGCCAGCGCCTGAGCTGAATGTGGTTTCCAGGGGGTGATCCTGTGCTTGTTCTCTCCTGGGCTTCTGTATCAGGTGGAGTTCATTTGTCGTGAGAGATGGGCACGGGGGTGCCAGGCCTCTGACTTTGCTCTCTTGAGCTCCTTGTGGGTGCTAAAGGGTGACAGCCTTCTCCCCAGCGTGCTGGACTGGGCACTGCGTTTTCAAAAATCCACTCAGCCGGTGCCAGTGAGGGTTGCCCAGGAGGACGCTCAAAGGGGGCACTCACGTGCTGCTGCTAGGTGGGTATGGGGGCTGCAGCCTGAAGCCGCCTTCCTGAGAGGCAGGTGTCCTGGTTGTCCTCAAATGTGGCCACTTATGAGGGTCACAGATGTGGCCTGTCCCGTGGTTGAAGGAGTGGGAAGCAGGAAGTCACGAGTGAACACCCTGTGGAAGGGGCCTGGGCAGGTTGCGTTTGGGAGGCAGAGGCAGCGGGTATGAGCAGCGAGGCTGAAGGGCTGGGACGGGTGAGCTGACCTCAGTGGGCACCCCTCCTCTGTGCCTGCGCCGTCCCCGTGCTGGCCCTCATGTTGTTGTCTGCAAGGTAGAACCACGTTTCTTCTCCATGGGGCTGCTGGGTGCTGAGCAGGATGTGTAGACCGAAAGCCCAAGTTGGGCTTGGGGTAGGAAGGCTCATGTTCCCTGCGGGCAGGGCCAAAGGACACGGGGTGGCCTCAGGACAAGTGTGTCAGCTAAGAGGCAGCCCCAGCCCCACTCGTGTGGCCTTTCTTGCCCACAGATCACTTTGGTGCACGGACTCCTTACTGGAGCACAGAACGGTTACCGCACGGGCTGGGCCATGGTCACGGCTTGCTGACCCTCAAGTGAGGGCGTCTGTGCAGTCTGGCTGGGCTCAGGCCAGGGGCCCTGGGCAATGTGAGGTATGCAGATCCCCCTGCCCGCATCAGGGCCCAGGCAGACCTCTGAGTTGCTGTGGCTGAGAAGCTTGGTCTGGACCTTGCGCGCTGGTGGCTGGCATCTGGCAGAAACACTGTGTGCAAGCGCCTGCCTGTCCTTTACTGCGGCTCCAGATGTCAGGGCTGGGACACGTTTGGAATCTGTTCATGTGACCGCTCTGCTTTTTTTGTCATTCTTTTGGCCTAGCTGAGGTTCTCAGAGTTTATTTAGGGTGGCCTGATGTTCGGGCTGCAGCAGTGACGATTGTGGGAGTTTATCTGGGTATCTAGGAGACCTCTGCCGGCACTTTCTGACACGCTCAGGAGAGCACCGCCAAGCACACACCCCCTGGGAGCTGCAGTCCTGTTCTGCCCTGCCCTGTTGTCCTCAGCTCCCGGCTGGGGGTGGGGGCTGGCGTGTGGG